TGGAATGGTTTAAGTTGCTCTATATCCAAAAAAAATATTTATCGCGTGCTTGTTTGGAGTTTATCAGTCTTCTTATCATTCGAGATATGAGGGGTGTCGCCGACCTTCAAAAATACATCCAATTCCGACTAGGAGGAGAGCATCGCCAATTGTCGATCCGGGAATTCACTAGAGCAATGGATATTTATCCGGCGGATTTCATTGACTCAACAGACACCTTGGCTACCTTGACAAGGAAATCCGACTTCCCTTGTTTCAAGGAATTTTATGAATCTAAGGTCAAGAAATCCAACGGTCGACAATGGGATGTCAAGCTATCAAAAGCAAGTGAAGTGAAACAGGAGTGGCGACTCATTCACCACGTGATTGCTAAGCCCGTGGGATGAAAGAACCGGAGCAAAGGTAACCTAACTGCCCGAGACGTCACCTTCTTTTATAGTATGCATCTACCCCTATCTCTACATCTCGGTTTGGCTATCTTATCTATCTTCAAGCTTTATGAGATGAATCATTGGCTCGCCGCACTTCACGGAGAAGTTTTTGTCACTCATCTAGCCAAGTTTTTCCAAGTCGACTGTGGGGCCGTCCAATTTTGATTGGATAGTAGGAACACTCCTATATCCTTCGAAGTCTTGAAACTCAAAGTTCAACACAGGAACGACGATGGCATTTGGGTAGTTTAGGGACTTCCGTTTCCAACCTCTAATACGTTGGACATGGAAGGAACCGTGTTCCGTCTTCCGGAAGCTATGATGGTAAGAGAGCGAAGATGATTTGAAACCGATGGAGATCAAGTGGAGAGCATATATGAAGGAAGAGAGTCACCCATACCCATGCCTCAAGTGGTTCACCAACAGTTCAAAATATGCAAGGGACTACCGAACTGAAGCAATGATAGCGCCAATCCTTCACAAGCAAGAGAAAGAGACGGAAGCAAGGCTACATATTACGGCGTGCCTCCACGCGATCATAAAGAAGATGAACATTCCCACCAAGGATACACATGCCCGATTTGATCATTTCACTCCCCTTGTGCCACTACAGAAAAAAGAAAAAGGACCCGAGGAGGATTGAGTACTAGGCATCCGGGGCCTAAGTTCTATCTTTCTTTTTCTTTGCTTTTCTCTATTTGAATTAAAATAATGTTTAATTATCGCTTTTATTTTTCATTTACTTTTCGTACTTTAAATATTTTAGCACTAGTAGTATTAGTATTTATATTATATATCTATCTATCGTACCTATAACTCTTAATAGTCTTCCTCTCTATCTTATGCGCTTTATCGTTGTGAAACCCACCAGGAAAACAAAGACCTACACTTGTGTACCTTCACCAACCCACAACCAAACCTATAGTAACCTTCACGATCTTCTCTTATAAAACTCCCACATTGAGGACAATGTGTTGCTCAAGTGTGGGGGGTGTGTATGACTGTGTGAATGAATATCATGATTGGTTGAACCATAAATGGCTAGAATCCTCCCTTGTTTATGAATGTAAGATGTTGATGAATATTTATGCGAGTATGTGCTAGAAATTGTGTTTGTATTGTGGTGATCAATGGTCAAATGATATTGTTTTGGAACCTTGAATGCTATACCGAATTTTTTTCAAATTTGAGGGTTCCAAAACACCTTGTTCCTTGCAACACCCTACTCAATATGCTTTATTTGTTAGATGATTGATGTGTTATGCTCGTTAGGTAATAGTTGCATGATTAGAGTACCGGTGTGTGGGTAATTTTACTATTTTCTCCCTCTTTTGTGAGTCGATAATATGTGCTATTTTAGGAAGAACATGTGTGCGGGTTCTCTTTTTGTTTGATTTTTGAACTCGAAGCTTTTAAAAGATTTGTGTGCATTAGAAAGAAAGAAAAGAGAGGCAACCAATCATCACGGATTCAGAGTGCCCTTTGAGGATATGCATAGGGATCGGATAGCCTTACCGCGTCCCGACCATCTTTCACTACTTACCATCCCCCATGCATCTTTCCTTCTCACGGAACCGTATGCCAAGGTCCAAAGTACCTTTTAGAGATTCATAAGACATCATAGCTCTCGTTTGTACCCAAAATGTGTGGCAACCGAATGTGGAATGCATGCTGGGAAGTGGTGCTCGGGCTAAGACGAATTTGCCCATCAACTTCCCCACGTGTGACCTTGAAAGGGAAGGCTATGATTCATCTGCTCTTGGTCATGAGGGAGAGATGTTTGTTGGCAAAAGAATTGCAAAAGCTTGGTGCAATGCGCGTTAATGTTGAAAAAGGAAACCAATAAACAACTTCTAAATCTAAAGAGAGAATAAAAAGCACCTTCGAGAGTTCTTATGCTTATTTGTGTTAGAGAATCCCTCGGAGCACACCTTGAATTTTCGGCCTAAGGTAGTATATATGGTTCTCACACGAGAGTTTATGCTTGCACATTAAGATGATAGTAACGTTCATTCATCTCCATCTACTCTTCTTTATGCAATGAAGAACTAGAGTGCATTCCCCATTGATTTGTCTATGGTGTTTAAGCATTAGGTTTGCTTGGAGACAAACAAACACCTAAGTGTGGGGGAGTTTGATAACACCTAAATTGGTATTATTTACACTTCATATTGAGGTTTTATATGTGCCAATTCATGTTCATAAATGCTTAAACACCGTCAATTGCATCCCTATACCGTTCCTATTTGAATTCGATGTGATTTTAGGGTGTGTTAGACTATATATGCGAATTAGGTACAAAACAAGGCCACAAGTGTAGCATGGGGGCGGAACACTGAAGATCGTGGCCTAGAAGTAAAGATCACGGTCGAGATCCTGGAGTGCGAAGACAAGCTGAAGATTGTGGTCTGGAAGACCAAGATCGCGGCCGCGAATTGGAGGGCTCAGGGCGTGAACTTCGTGAAGAAGGAGTCGAGGAGAAACAGAGAGTTTCCCTAGTCGAATCACGGACACAGTGCATTTTCACTGCGAAGAATTGCGGCCGCGACCGCGAAGTCAACCCGCGATCTCCTCAATCCCGAAGGCGTACGACTGCGTTTCAAGATCGCGGCCTCTCATCTGAAGATCCCGCCCACGATCTCTGCACTTCTAGCTGCGAACTTGTTTGTCTTCTGATTACCTATAAATAGGAGACCCCTTTCGCTCTTTTAAGAGAGCTGATTTTGAGAGAAGAATTTCTGGTTTTAGAGAGAGAGAAGAGAGAGAAGCTGAAGAAAGGAGAAGAGGAGAAGGAGCTAGAAGAGAGGAGGCATCTTCCTCAACCTCAAGTCTTCTTTAATTTCTTCTATGTATCTTCATCCCTCCTTTATGAAGTAGTCCTCTAAGGTACTAGGGGTTCTAAACCCCAAACCCTAGTTTTAGGATTTACTATATATGTATGAATATTTTGGGGTTTGAATGAATGAATGTGTTTATCTAGTTGATTCTATTGTTATTCTATCTTTAATTGTGTTTGGGTAAGTCACCATAATCTTCTATATTAGCCTACTTTATGCTTCTATGCTGGGTAAGGAGTTCTAGGGTTAGAGGGGTATGCATCATCAAGCAAATCGAGGTAGATGTATGAATAGGGACCTATGGTGGTCGAGGCAACCGAACCTCTGCTATAGGTAACCTTCCTAGATAGAACCCGAGATAAAACCTCGGTGTGTACGGTGGATAGTATTTATTGAAAGGAGCTATGAGCTTAGTGTCCCAGATACGATAGTCTATATTGAGGTGACTTTATATGGGTCTAGGGGAGGCGTACTCGGAGGTGTGTGGATAACCATGAAAGCCCACGGAAACAAGCTCAATCATCACATTACGTATCTAGATAAACATAGTAACCCTAGACTACGATGATGGATAGTTTCCCGAAGTACCCGCTTTTAGATTTATTCAATCTCTAAACTAGTAATTCCCTGTAATCCTCCACTCAAACCTCCAAAACCGATTAACTAATTAACAACTAGGTGGAAAGTAGGTTAGGGTACCAGGACCCGAGTAAAATACAACATTGATTACCACTATACGACAATGTCATTTTAGGTTAAATTTGGTTTAGAATGGGTAGTTGTCAACACGTGCTAACCATTGAGAATAATCTATACGGACTAATATGTTTTTATGATTTTACACCTTTTCCGATAGAATCGCAATTTTGAAAATGCATTGCGTTCCCAATCGACAAAGTCATTGCCACATTCGAAGCAAAGCACTGACGGAAACTGTTATACATCTCCTTCTACTGATCATCCGAACTTCAGTTTTTGGTACCCATGATCGACCTTCCTAGCAGCTCTACTTTTTCTCGACTACTTGTTCTTCAAAAGAATTGCATTTATTAATTATTAAAATTTAAATGACAGATAAGAAAGAAATAAAACAAAGCTAGTTTTTAGTTCTAATAATAGTAACTAAACGCGTTTTTATTTTTTGTTGTCAGATTTCATGATTTTTCAGATTTATCAACTAAACAGGTTTATGTTTTTTTTTTTTCCTGTTGTGTTGTACATATGTTTACATAACACTAGTGCAACCACAACAACAAAATGATACTAAATGGGACCTAAGCAAGGCGACTTGCGTTATACATGCATTTTATTATTGTTTGGTAACGTTTAACAGCACAACCCAAAAGTATAAACACAGTTGACAATGCTATTCTGCATGCTGCCTCTTCTCATTTCACTCCAACAATAAACTTGAGATTCCTGAGCTTCGCGTTCACCTCCACCAGATCATAAGGGTCGTTGAATGATGCAACAGGCGGCACAACTCCAGTGAAAACATATAGGGCGCTGAGCTCTTCCATTAACGTTGGTTGCCTGGAAGCTGTATATCCCACAATTACGCGCAGGGCGTTGATCTGTTCCCATATCCTCTCGTTGCTCAAAAGTACCTGCATTTTCACAATGACCATCAACCAACAGAAAAGCCTTTTTCCTTTTACTTGTAAACAATGCAGCTTCCCTCCCTTGCAGTGGTCTATTTAGGTGAAATGTGTATGATGACCAAGAACATAGGGCATCCATTAAGCCCAGTTTTCTTCATCCAACACAAACATCTCAGGAAATTCGAGATATAGCAATTTGATTATTACACCGTGCTACCAAAAAAGCTCAACTCTCTGTCCACTAACTCACACCCCTCTCCCCCCAAGCCCAGATGGAGAACTAAGAGCTCTGCATCAGGATCTAAGCAATGTAGACCTGCACTCTCAATCTATCAATCTTGAAATGAAATACATCCTCAATTGAGCTAGCTCCTTGAGGGTTGTTTCTTGGCAGTTTTCGGTTGCTTCTTTTTAAGCCTTTTGGAAGACTTTATTTTGCATCGCAGCAAAACAAGAACAAAAGAAAGAGGGGGAAGAGAAGTGTCAGACAAACCAGCAAACATAATACCGAAATGTCATCCAATAGTCAGATACAAAGACCTTATAATTTCACAGTGTTTCAATTACAGCAGAACAATAGCGCAACGGAGAAGGGATACACCCTCATTAGATGGTTCTACTCTAATCATTCATGTTCAACAAAGAAGATAAACTTCGCATCAATATTCGACCAAACAAGAAGCCCTAAGTTGTGCCTCTGGAACTTAACACAGTTAGCATCTGTTGCAGCCACCTAACCCAAATTCCCATCTTTTGGCAACAATGTGAAGCAGGAACTAGACAGAATCCTAAAATCTATATCCAAGTCATGTAGCCTACTTCCCAAACAATAGATCAGAATGACACTACTTCCACGCCAAGTAAGCCCTACATATACATGACTGCGAGGAGGGGAAGAAAAACTCAGATTTTATACCTCAGTGGAACCATTTTGGTTGGCATTTCTACCGTCATTGGACTCGGGAGCAGCAGTGGCGGAGGGAGCAGCAGCAGTACTGTCCTGCGGCTGCTTCCCAGTTTCGGCAGATGCAGCAGCTGTATGCAAGAAAATACCAAACAACTAATTAGCAACATACACCAAACCCCAAAGACACTCAGATGACATTCACAACAACCCATGTCGTAGAAAAATGACTCTCACTTACCTTCGGTCGTTTTCTTGTCCACTTCAGCTGGACTCTGAGGGAGGCCTTCATCCCTAGCACTTTCAAGCAACCCGGTTGTCCCTTTCGCAAGCTCCTCATTCTCATCAACATCAACATGGCCCTCCGAAACCTCCACAACCACACTCCTCACCTCGATTGGCACTGCAGCAGCGGCAACAGGAGTGACCCCATCTCCCTCCTCTATATCCACAATACCACTAATCGGATGCATCTTCACAGCCATATTTAATGTCTCTTCATCTCTGTGTTCCTTCATATACTCTCCAACATCACCGTCTGTATATCCATTTTGATTTCCGTCCACAATTTCGTCTTCTTCGTCTTCAATCGGATCGAGGGTTCGCCTTCTTATTCCCTCCCCTGAAATCTTCTGGTACTTCCCCAGGTCACCGGAACCCTCAATCCCTTCATGTTGTTCTTCGGGAGGAATATGATGATGGGTTTGGAGAGGAAGCAATTTGGACATGAGAGACTCGGTGAAGAGATAGGTTGTTGGGAATGAATAGCTTTGAAAGCTATATTGAATTAATTATCCAGTATTTTTCTATATACGAAAATAGAAGGATAATTAATAAAAGAAGATTATGGAGATAATTAGAATTAATTATCTTAATATAATATATTTTAATTATGGGAGTAATTATCTTCCTAATTAAAATGTGACTTATTCCCAAAGAAAGAGGGAATATTCTGGGTTTTCTGCTCCTATAAATAGGAGACACCCCAGACCCTCTAAACACACCTCAGAGAGCAGAAACACGAGATAGAGAGTGAGTTCATAGAGCTCCGGTTTTCGCACAAAACCGATGAGCAATAAATTTAGAGTGGCTGTTTTATCCTGGAGGCGACCGGCTGATAGTCTGCCGTGCGCAACGAAGGCAGTGCCGCGAACGTCTTAAAGAGAGCGACCTAGTCCGCGACTCAGCCAGATCGGTAACCCTGATTTTTCCTGTTCGATTTATAACATAGGTTGCTAAGAAAACGCTGGAAGGCAAAGAACAAGCGAACCCAAGAGCCGAAATGACCAGAATTGAAGGGACAACCACTGGCGCTGAAGTGGCCACTAATCCAGTGACCAAAATCTTCTTCCCCAGTGTTAATCCTTGGTTCATGATCCTACCGGCCTTGCCTGAGTAGTGGGTTTCGGACTCTGAACCCAACCCGGATCCGAAAATGTCACGGTACTGCTGCTGATCCACATCCTCCATGTCCGAATCTTCCCCGTCGCTGGAAAATTAGACGGGGACATCAACACCACAGAAACGCAGAATGAAAATAACACAATAATCAAGCCTCTGTCTTTCTCTGTAAGGAGGGGCTCAAATGGGATTTCAAAATGAAGAGAGAGAATGGGAAGGGTTTAGGGTTTTTGGGAAGTGACGCGCGTTGGGAAGTGGAGAGAGACAGGTTAGAACTGGCGAATGAGTGACGACGGCGGTTGCTCGACGGAATGCGCAGAGAGGATAAGAGAGGAGGATTAAGGAGATGGCATTGGCAGCTGTGGGTCTTGCTGTGTTGTGTGTTGACTGTTGAGCATCTCAAGGAGCCGACTGCCACTGTCTGCCAATTTTGGCTCCTCCGAAAGCCGCGTGTGAGCTTTGCCGCTTTGAGAGCAACCCAGCCATCGCCACGTTCACCCCTCATGCAAATATGCAAACGGTACAAGGATGGACTTCTGTCTCTTTCTTTTCGGCTAAATTGCAATTTGGCAAAATACATCTATTTATTTGTATAGCCAAAATTTTAGTGTTTGTGACAATAATAACCACTTTTTGAGAAATACACAAAATAGTCAGAATTTTTGAAAATTTCATAACAAATATAGCCATTTCCGTTATAAAATTTAACGGTGTTAGAAACTATGTCCGTTATGTTAACGTAAGGCTGACTAGGATGCCAAATCACCCCACACGTCAACGACAAGTCATCAATATCATTGCCACATCATTTTGATTTATAAAATTAAAGCATTTTGAAACTAAAAAAAAACATAAAATACTTTTTTCTAATTTCTCCTATTCCCCACTATTCATCTCCTCCGAATCTAACAGTAGGGATGGTAACAAAACCCGAACCCACGAGTACCCATCCGATCCAATCCGGTCAACGCCGGTAAAATCCGTGTTGACGGGTTTTGGGCCGGGTTTGGGTTTAAACTCGTTCACTATTCATCGGGTTGGGTTTTGGTTTATGTAAATCCGACCCATGGATACCCGCTCACACCCATATAATTAATTTTCTCGATATATCTAATATTCTGAACAACTAATCTTATTTATGTTTGTGGAGACATGTCTAATTTTTTCTTTCTGATTGTGTAGAATGAAGTTGATGTTATCGAGTGGAGAGTGAAGAAACTTAATTGACAAGAAGAAGTTTTCAATTAATCATGTTATTTATGGATAATTTGTGATTTGCTTCAATTTTCTTGAGTTTTCTATATTGGTGTTGAACAATTTGTATAGTTAATTTGTGATTTGCTTGAATTTTCTAGAATGATGTTTTATATATGGATAATTTGTATTGAGAGATTGATATTTGGTTTTAATTTTGATAGGAACTTGTTATTGTAATTTTTTACGACAAAAACTCGTGGGTACCCATGAACCCGCGGATACCCAACGGGTTGGGTTGGGTTTGAGTTTTTCAAACCCAATGGGTTTTACCCCGAGTTTTTTTTCACGGATAAACCCATGGGTAGAAAGATTAAAATTACATCCTTGCTCCTCTCTAGGAAAGCCTTGAACCCAGTATGCAAGCTTGACAGTCGTCGTTCCTTGTTTTGCAGCGACAGTCCTCAAAAGATGTGGAATGCTGCAAGAAAAATCATCATAAAAAGAATCGCGATAAACCATATGCTCCTTTTCTACCATGACCAACTCGTAGAATTCTTCATCTTCCTTCTGAGGCTCTGGTGTTGGAGAAACCACTCTGTTGCCTTCAAGGAATCCACCAAAAGCGGTAGCATCCTTCGACTCGACCTTTAGCTCAACATCGACTTCATCATAACTTGAACTTTGTTGCCCGGGAGAACTCAAACTCAAACTCGATCTCTGATCAGCCACGGTTTGGAGTGAAGCGCCAATCTGCCTGTGCTATAGCAGTTTTATGGTTTCCTGCTCTGCTTCATATTCTCGATGTAATTGTTGCAAAGTCTTTCAATCATTAACAGCTTCCTTTGTGGATAAAGGTTTCAAAACAAATACCTTCTTATTATGCTACAACCGGAAGCTTTTGGACCTTTTGCTGACCAGATGAACTCCACGATATTGGAACCAGGTTTGTCCCAACACAATATGATTTGTAAGATTGTGAACCACGTCGCACAAAACCTCGTCTTCATATTTGCTAATAGCAAGCTTCACAGAAATCTGTCCAACCACGATGCTTGAAATCTTCTCTTCAGGAAATTGTAGGATGTATGGAGCTGGATTTAGATGCATTGGCACCCCCAATCTAGTCATTGTTGTTGAGGTGATCACATTTGATTTGATCCCTCTATCTACAAGCATAAAATACACATTCTCTTGAACCAAACAACTAGTATAGAAATATTACTTCTCTATCGCTTCCGCCATTAATAGATAATATCTTTTTGCCACTGATTTGAATCGGAGATCTGATACCACATGATAAGACCCCGAGCTCGTGAAAGTTTAGGTTCTTTTGTCAAAGTCGCTCAACTTCAACTCAAGTTTGGATGGCTCAAATCGACCTTCAAACAAACATAAAAAATAAAAGGATACGTGGAGATAGATACTTGTCACAATCAAGTGTGATCACTTAATTGATAAGAGTCTTGCCAAGATATTCTGGAATCTTCAACAGTAAAACTGAAACAAAGATCTTGTCGTAGCTATGGAATCCACCAATAGCTAAACGAATAAACCATAAGCATGCGGCTCCATGGGGAAAACACACCTCGGTGTAAAAAATTCTTATTCAACAACTCCTAACCCTAAAATTCGTGTTTACAACCCTTTAAATAGGTATGGAAAAATAAAACTAATGAAAATACAGAAAAGAAAAACAATCCTAAACCGAAAATGAAGTTTAACTCGTCAGGCCCCAAAACCAGTTACAATACCCGGTTACGGATTTTACCCACCTGATCGGGGGTATTCTGTCCACATTACCCGGTCGCTCTCATCATTCCCAGATCGCCGAATTTGTCATTGTCGGTCGGGTATTCCCGTTTGCGGGAATCACATCACAAACGACCCATAAATGACTAAGTTATTAAAATAAACGTTCAAGACTTAAGCAATAAAAAGGGGATCAAATAACATCGGAGTCGTAAACAACGCATATTCCAACAAAAACATCAACTGCGGGTAGAGTTCAAACTCCTACGTACTCATAATAACTATTTAATTAATGATAGAGATAGTTATCATATTATGATAAATGATTTTTTTATTTTATTTTATCTTATCTTATTTATCTTCTCCTAGCCTCACTTTCCAACATTATTCTTTTTTGCTTTATTTTATCAACATCTTTTTTCATGTTATCTTATTTAAATGGTCGACAGGTAAACACCTTATAAGTATTGAATAATATTTCAGCACTAGAAAGGTATTAGTAGTAAACGTTGACTCTCCTATCATTTAATTTGACCTAATGAGTGCATAAAAACTATAAAAAAGAACATAAGTTCTAGGTTTATCACTCAAACACTAGGGGTTTCATATTCTTTCTAGGTTTAGAGTTTGGTGAAGAAGAAGACATTTTAGTGTCAGTATATGTACATTGACAGGTCGACAACATTTTTTTAAGCCTTAAAGTATGTATCCTCAAACAATCGATCTCAATGATGAGCAGTCGTCCAGTCTCTTAATGTCATATACAATTTGCATAGTTTATTTTGCTGTTTTGATTTACTTTTATCAGAATATCAGGTCAATCACTCTCTTAGGTAGGTGGACCAACCTGCTCAGATAGGTTGACCACTTTCTCAGATAGGCCGACCTCTTCGGAACAACTGTGACACTCTGACGTTAAGGCACACTCTCTATGGACTTTGTTTGCTTGATGTAAGTGATTCGAGTCATTCTGTACATGTTTTTACTCCTTTTGCTTTGTCGTTTAACTAGTATAACTCTTCCTAGTTTGACATGTATAGTCATTTTATACATGTTTTTACTCATTTTTTAATGTTTTAGTATGTTTCATGCCATAAAAGGTTAAATGGGCGAAATGATCGAAAGTCAAATTAAAGAGATCAAAAGCGGGACAAAGTGCTGAAAATTGATAGCAACTTGTTTCCCCGAGTTAGGGTTTGCTTGTAACTGACAAGCGAGAGAACGACTTTGGCGTCGAAAGATCTTTTAGTTTATTAATTTGATACCCCGGACTAATGTCGTAGTTACATATTTATAGGCTACTAAACCTAATACGTAACCCTAACTTTAGCCAAACCCTACTAGGACACCTAAACCACTCGGCCACCTAATGACGAGCTAACCTCTAACCCAACTACTTACTATGTAACTCATCCAACCACTACTATTCTACTTGGCCAATGCAGCTAACATGTTTACGTAACCCTACAATGAAACCCATAATAATGAACAAAACACAACTAACCCAAACCCATCTCGTGGAGCACCTCTCTCTCACCAAACAAGTTGCTATCATTCCATCCCCCTCAAAAAACCTTGGTCTCCAAGTTGCTATCATTCCTATTCCAAACGTCCCACCAGCCGCCGACGCGTTCATAGCGGCCTATTGAGCGCCCCCGACAAGCTTCCTTTGCCAACAATAGCACCGCAACCATTGGCCCGAACTCCATCTGCGATCCCCTCCTTCTCGCAGCTATGGAATCAATAGATGAGAGCCTCGTCGAGGTGGTGAGCACCGCGGCGCACTGTTTTCTTCCTATCGCTTCCAGATCGTTGGGTAAGAGCCTCACAGAGGTGATAATCAGCATTGTGCACTGTTTCCTTCCCGTCGATCTCATTGACGGAGATCTCGACATCCTCCACCTCCCTGGTTTCATAGGCGCCGACGCGGGCCACGTCGTCATAGCTTAGCTTCCCCATACAAAAAAAAAGACCTTATCCCAAGGGTTCTATAGCAAGGGTTTTGCAACCCTTACTAATTTTTCCGGAATATTTTATAGCAACCCTTCCTTCCAAGGGTTCTAGAACCCTTGTTAACTATTAAACCAAATTTCAACTGAGCTGAAGCTCCTTTCTCAATACAAGAAAACCTCTATTTTCCCTTTTACATTTTCGATGGCGACTCTTCTTTCAAGGGTTCCGAGTCCTTGCTAAGACTTAATTAAACTAAATTTCAGCCCCTATTCCACTTCTCGATCAGAAAACCCCTGTTTCCCCTTAAATTTTTTTTTTGCATCTATTCAAAGTTTCAAACAAAAACAAAATGACACCCAAAGCTATCCAAAGAAAAAAAATCCAATCTCCCTCCTCACTCATCCCGACTAAAGGGCGATTCCGATCTCCCTCGCTCTCTCCGGTTGAAAAGGCGATTCTCCGATCTTCATCGCTCACTCCGGCGTCGATTCTTCAATCTTCCTCGCTCACTCCGGCCGTCAGTTCTTCGATCTTCCTCGCTCGATTAGGTTGACAGGCGATTGTCCGATATGCTCGCTCCGGCTGAAAGGTGATATTCTTCCTTGTCTCCCTCTCTCTCTTTCTCTTTCTCTCTCTCGCTGGCTTGCTCTCTACTTTCCTCGCTTGCGCTCTCCTCTCTCGCGCGAGCGAGCTCATGCTGGTTAGGTTACAGATCGAATTTCTTAGGGTTTGTAGCTCTTAGCTCCAATTTTGAGTGAGGCTTCCTTTTTAGCTAGTGTGGCTGGATTTTGAGTGAGGATGATGCATTCATGGAGACCATATGAATGGATGCTCGTGTACTCTCGTTTTTGTTATTATCTCACTCTACTGTGTGTCATGAATTTGAGAAGATATGACCATTCATATAAATGGACGTTTCTTTCGGTGCAAGCCTCACTAGATGCATGATTCAAAGAACATCAATTGCATCATTGTGCAGAATGATTCAAAGGAAGAAACAACAACCCGAACTCTGATTTGTAGTATAAACCAACTAAGAGCTTATTGTTGAATTTCTTCTTTACCTTGCATACGTTCAGTGCATACAGATAGTTCTTAACATATTAATCATTGAATTCAGCTGTATACTGCAAATAAGAATACATCTCACTGACACCTTACTTTCCATTCTCATTGACCTGTTCATGATCATTTCTTTCTTCCGGGATGTTGATTCTATAAGATATTCTGGGAGAACTCACTTTATGCGACTTCAAAGCAGTAAGTTAACTTTAACTAGAGTTATAGTGATGCTATAGAACCTTATGAATCCACGAACTTGATTTTCCATCAAAATGAGATCTCTTACTTGAAATTATTCTTTCTTATGCAGATGACTTGATTCGATTTGGAGGTACATGTTGTGTGTATCTCTTTTCCTTCCTCCCCCCTAATAATAATATGAACGAGTTTTCATTTGTGTTTTGTGTTGGTATGTTTGTTTGGTCACCATAATTATACAGTTTTGGTTGATGTAGTTGGATGGTGGAGGAGTTGCCAGCAGAGGCCTCCGCGAACTAATACCATTCATAGCAAGACAACAGTAGCTGTTGGGCTGGATGCAATTTTCCTGGAGGTACCCTTAAATTTTAACTAGCCGAGACACTCATGTTGGACCATACTATGCAATTCTACCTCTTCAAAGTGGAAATTTGACAAATTTCATTAGAGTTATGTACTAAAAGCTTCCGAGAGCTTTCTTATCGGCTTCTAGGTGCATGATGATCCAAGGAATGTGGTGGATGGTTCAACACAGTGGGTATGCACGCTTCTGAATGTTTTTCTTCGTGAAGTGCCTGAAATAACATTCTGGTAGTAGGTTTCTTGATAGAATCTGACTTGATGATTGTAGCCTCTACGGTACTTGGAGGAACTGCTGGAAGAGCTGCTGGCAGTAGCTGTGAGCTGGCCATAGGATATGTCTATATTTGCAGCGCCGTTAAGCTAGCACTGGTTTTGGACATTTTCTACTTTCACAGCAAAGATGAGAACTGCTCTGTAATGCGGGGAAGGGGGAACAAAAGGGTTGTTCAAATCCTACAAGAACCTTCACTTCTCTTGAGCTGGCCATTTTGTAAGTGCCTGTTTTAGCCTTCCATTATTATCTTATGAGAACAGAGGGAGACAAAGATGTCTCCATGGGTTGCTTAATTGTGTTGTTTCAATGTGTTTTGGTGTTGGTTGGAGTACTGTAGATGAGAGTACTGGTTATATATTACCAAACAAAGTTCTACTTGAGATCGGTATGGACATACTGCTTTCTTACTATTTTCAACGTTCCCTATTCTGTTTTGTGGTTTAATTTAATGGCATAGATTGACGTGTAATGGTTTTCATCTTTGGAAAATGAAAAAGCCAAGCAGATGCCTCTAACAACTGGCAAGTTGCATCTTGTACTAAAACTGAAGCACCAATATATTGAACTGGCAAGTTGCAAAATGTTGTTGCTTTTGAAGCTGTTGCGCAGCAATTAAAGGAATTGGCCATGGAAATGGTAAGACTTACTTTTCACTCTAACTGGGAAGCTTTGATAGCTACCGCATTACTGTTATGACAATAACTTCTTTATTTATGTTTGCTCTCTGTGTTGAAAGGAGCTCTGTCTTACTGCAACAATCTAGTGGAAGTGTATGCATGATTGGAACATGAGGCTTTTATACGATTGGACCTTAATTTTGTTATAATATTCTGAATTTGTCTTTCTGCCGCTGTTTTCATAACTGAATCCGATGTGACTGAATTCGATGTGACAGATGGTTTCAAGTTCAAGGAATTTAAGAAATTTGAGAATTGTGACTGAATCCGATGTGCAAGATGGTTTTCAACAAGGACATCTATCCTCTCAACATGATGAAGGGTCTACTAACAGGATAGGTACATTGGCAGTTTTGTTGCTTCCTTTTTACTTTCTTTACTTTCTATCAAGACATGTCCTTTTCTTGCCTTGCCATCCTCATCAAATGATCCCCTGTTAAAGTGGTAGTTTTATGATATCACTACTCATATCCTATTAAGAATAAAACCAATGAGGAAATAAACTATGAAACAAGACTGCAAGTGTATTTATGGTATTGATTTTTGTGTTTATTGTCTAGGTGGAACCTAAAACTGGATGGAGGTTTCTTGAAATGTGTTTAGTAACAAAACAAGGGTATTTATTGGTATGCTTTATGATTAAGGAAGCTTTGTTCTTCAGGTTAGGCTATGCCATAGTGCTTAAATCACTTAGCATTCATATGCTACAGCAAGAACAACTGGAACTTATGTGTTCATGGTAATTTTGGTGATGGAAATTATGTGTTCATGGCTGTTTTTTGGTTTCATGCTGCTGCCACTTCATAATTGTTGTTGTTGCACTTGATAATTAAATTTGTTTCTTTATATTTTTATTTTATTTTATGATCAGGGTGCCACTAGTGCTCTTGCTCCATCAATGGGATCTTGAGCTTCTTGATCAAATGGTATGAGGAAGCATTTTGGAAATGATCTACTCATGTAGCTTTGAATTGGGTTCTTTTGAGTATGTTTGAATGTTTATCGTGATTAGTGTTTAGTCATGTAAAGAACACCATTTTGGATTATGAATTATATTATGTTATGATTCAGGATATGAAGAGTATATGGTATGTTATGAATTTTAGTAACAAACTTGGTTCTGGATTAGTTTTTAATGATCAGGGTATTTGCAACCAAGCTATTGTCACTAATCATGTTGCCTCTTTTTAGTGTCGAATTTTAGCGACCATTTTGATTTCGACAAAAAAAAGTTTTTCCAGCTCTAGTCACAAAATGTTAACCCTTGAAAGTAGCATATCCTCGACAATTTCACATAAATTTACATAGGCATGTAGCAAGGGTTCAAACCTTTGCTAGCGGTAGGAACGAATTATTCAAGGGTTTTAACCGTTGTTACGAGCAAGTCTTGCTTGAATTTTTCACATACGTGTAGCAAGGGTTTAAACCCTTGCTATAACCCTTGTAGGGGACTTGCACCAAGGGTCGCGATAACCCTTGCTACATGTAGCAGGGGCAGCTTTGCCAAGGGTCCATCCAAGGGTTGGCCCAACCCTTGCTACATTCTATAGCAGGGGTTAAAACCCTTGCTATGGATGAAAATAACCCTTGGCATAGACCTATTTTTTTGTAGTGCCCGTCGATGACGGTCAAGCACTTGGGTTTGGCGATATACTCCTCCAACAGTTGTTCCAAGCATCGATCCTTGCAACCATGTCCTAACATGCTGCACTCATTCGTTCTGCCATGGTGCAGCAAGCATCCACGTAGAAGACCATGCTCTGTCGTCGAGAGCAACCAGACGCTGGTGATATCTACCCGGGGAGCTGTTTAGAGCTTGGTTCTATCGAACCAGACTCTGTAACCAATTGATATCAACTCGTTTCCCCGAGTTAGGGTTTGCTTGTAACTCACAAGCGAGAGAATGACTTTTGGCGTCGAAAGACCTTTTATTTTATTAATTTGATTCCCCAGACTAATGTCGTAGTTACATATTTATAGGCTACTAAACCTAATACGTAACCCTAAGTCCCTAACTTTAGCCAAACCCTACTAGGACACCTAAACCACTCGGCCACCTAAAGACGAGCTAACTTCTAACCCAACTACTTACTACGTAACTAATCCAACCACTACTATTCTACTTGGCCAATGCAGCTAACATGACTACGTAGCCCTACAATTAAACACATAATAATTAACAAAACACAACTAACCCAAAAACCCAAACCCATCTCGTGGAGCAGCTCTCTCTCACCGAACGATGATTGTCACGGGACAGGAGACCGTGAAGTGTGTAGCCAAAATATGAAGTGTGCAAAGTTCCAGAGGCTTTCGAACTTCTCGCGTGCAGTGTGAGGATCACGGGCTCAAAGCGTGAAGTCTACAACAAATTGAGTAAGTGAAATAGTGTGTTTTGCGTTGAGATAACGGTTTTAATGCACACATCATGGTGTGAAGATCAACCATGAAACACACACTGTCGGGTATAAAAAGGAGAAGGAGATCATATTTCAATGAGGAGAAGAGTTTTATAGTGAGATTGTTTCTTCTTCCCATCCTAGAGAGATAAAGCGACGAACCCACGAAAATTGGAGAGTGATTTGATCTACCCAAGACCAAAGGAGGACATATTTCATCTTCAACACCATTCCAAGCAACTTGGAAGGAGGTAAATCATATTTTCATCTCATATGCTTTCAATTTAGGGCGAAATTTGGCAGCAACCCGGGTTGCAGCCCGTAGCTGCTGCCAGGCCACACGGCGCCCACTGATTAGTTCAAAAATAATTTTTCATTACTTATTAATTATTTTAATCAAAGACGGGAGGACGGAACGGAGCAAGCTTCCGTTATTATTTTTCCCCCAATAAACAAGGAGTGAAGCATATCTAGCTTGCAATATTCTTACTTAATTTTGTGTTTTTGACGTTTTTCGTATATATACTCCATATACTACTTCTAGATAATAATTAAATCGAATGTGGGGTATGATATTATACCCTAATTTTTAATGGATAAACTTCATGGCTTGATTCTCTAAACCTAAATCCGAACTTCAATTTAATAGAAAATAATAATTCACCGTTGAGATTGATCATGTATCAACGAAATAAATCTAATGGTCAGATAACCTAGAGTGTACTATACTTCATGAGTATACCAGTCCTTATCAATATTATATAAGTAATGGTCAAATTTGCTTAGTTTGGCCCTGCTGTAGCTTTTGTAGAAGCAGTTTCTAACTGGAGCTTTTAGATAAGTACTTTTCAAAAAAAGCAGCTGAGTGTTTGGCTGTAAAACTATTAGAAGTGCTTTTTAATATGAAAGGTTGTGTACAATGACTATAAAGAATTTATAATATAAAATATGAATAAAAATTCTAAACAATAAAAGGTAGTCAAAATGGATCTTGTTAGATTTCTTTTATATTAAATAATATAATTTATTTTATTTTTAAAATGATATAAATGAAGGAAAATTATATTTTCTGAAATAAAATTAAAATATGGTAAAGATAATCATGTACTTTTAAAACAGCTTTTCGCAGAAGCTCCAAATCGGAGCTTCTGCTTTTATGTTATACAAAAGCGCTTTTCGGCTTTTCAAAAGCCGAGCTTTTACAGTTGTTTGGCCCTGATTCAGATTTTGAAGCCGAAAAACACTTCTAGAAGCCGGGCCAAACATAGGGAATGTGTAATCCATGCGTGCTCTTATGATTTCTAAACAATAGATTCTTAAAAATTACATCTCAGAAATTATTCTTTTAGAATTATTTTTTTAATTCGTACATTTATCATAAACAATTTATTTCTTAGTACTAGGCTTAATTCATTTAGAATTATGTTCTTTAAAATTCACTCAGAGTTATCTATTTTCTTCTGGTAAATAATAAAGAACTAAATCTAAAAGTTGACTAAAAGTAATTAAGGCTCTTACAAGATAATAATAATAACAATAATAATAAGGCAAACATATTATTTTTGTGAACTGCTGAACTTTAAGAGTTAAATAATCCTTTGGAAAAAATAATGACGGAGGCTTATCTCCGTTTCTCCGACTCCATGTCTCCATCCGACTGCGGTTACAATAATTAACAAGTATTTGAAATTTACTTTTAACTAATCAGTGGGCGCCGTGTGGCCTGGTAGCAGCTACGGGCTGCAACCCGGATTGCTGCCAAATTTCGCCCTTCAATTTATAGTTTTAGTATTCTCATTTTATAACTTACTTTGTTTTAAAGATATTTATGCCAGTTTTGGACGATGAAATCAGACATTGGTTTCCATATCTCATGTGCAACAAAAAATAGCTCTTTCTGTTGGACAGTATACCAACTGACCAGGTTGGTCGTAAAGTAGAAGAAACCATTGTAAGCGAATAGTACGTTTTTCATGTAAGGCTTCGCATGCTAAGTGTCATGTCTACTTCTAGAAGATTAATTTTGGTTATTTGTCTTCTAATTGAAACAACTACATGAAATTTTTGAGCCCGAGGCTACGAGTTGAAAAATAGTACCACATTTTTTATATTTAGATATCGATGAGCTACGTGTTCAATGGAAAATGAATTAGAAGTATGTTACTCTTTTTTCTTTGTCTTTTTTGGTTGGTTTTTGATCAAAGGATGATGTTAAAACAAGATTTTTGGAAATCGGTCCCCAACAACAATGCCAAAATTTGATCCACGGTAGAACATGGGTTGAATTTACCTGGTAAGTAATCAAAATCGTATTTTCTTAGGGCCATTCATGTCCACCTACTCAGTCAGCGAGGGGCATGCTCTTGAGTTTCAGAAACGGAATGTAGAGGTTGAGGTTCCCCTTTATTTTGGGAGTTACTAATTAACGCCCTAAAATTAAAAAATCACCATCCTAAAATAAACTGAAATTACATATTTGACCCCAATTCCTAAAAATAAATTTTCCATCGATGTTTCACAAAAAGAAAAAAAAATTCATCGACTGCCGGGAACCCGCAGTCGACTGGATTTCGACGAGGTAGTGCCCATGACCGGAATTCATCCTGCATCCTCTTCAACGGCGTTGGTCTGCACCCTTCTTCCTCCTCCTTCCTCGACCGTGAAGAGATACATGGTTCAGGACCAGCGTTCTTTCTCATTCCTCAACGACGACGGCAGGGCATAACAGGCATCAGAGGTGGCCGGCGCGATTCCGGAATCCTTTATTTTCTTCTTCGTCCTCTAGTGGCGCAATAGTAGAGGTGGTGGCGACGGGCGTAGCAGTGGAAAATTACGATGTCAGATTTCTTTTCTACTTCGTCCATGAGCGGCGCAGCTGTAGAGGTGGAGGTGACGGCGACGACGACGGGCGGATCTCTGCAAAGTTAGGGCGACCCCTTTGGGGATTGGAGCTAGATGTGGCAATTGGATCGGATTCGTGGGTTCGTGGATCGGATTCGTGGATTCGTGGATTCGTGGATTGGATCCAAATGGATTCGTGGATTCGTGGATCGGATCCAATGGATCCGTGGATCCATAACAATAAATCGTCCTTTCATTTACAAAATGCACCGATCGGATCCAAATGGATTTTGTTTAATTCCTTCCGCAATTAAACAAAATTGTACTGTAGGACTCCCAATACTTATCAAACTTGCCCTTCATCGCTATAGCCATACGACAAATATCACTATCCACACTTTCACATGCATTCATCAACCGCAGAAATACAGGTTAGAAGTAGGATAATGGACCCCAGAAAAAAGCTTCGTGATGTCATTAAAAGGCTTCAAAATCTCGATGATTTTCTCAATCTTGTCCCATTCTACATCTGACGAGCATCTATCAAAATTTCTGTCAACCAACCTCATATGTTGAAAAGCACGACGATAAAGATCCGCTCTCTCAAGCATCATGTATGTAGAGTTCCATCTGGTTGGACAATCTAACCATAATCCCTTAGAACTCAGACAATTACTTCTCTTTGCACAATCTTCAAAAACTATCCTTCGAGATTGACTATGGCAGGACAGGTTTCATGAGGTCCACGGATTCAGAACAGAAAAATCAGCTCTTACTTTTTCACTCTCGGAGCAAATGATGACCTCTGGTTTGATGATGGATGGTGAACAGAGTTACAGAATATCTTCTTCTTCTTGTTTGTTTTGTTTCTGTGGGTTGTGGGGGAGAGCACCGACTGAGGAAAGCAAATCGAAAACACATATCAGAGAGCTTGTTAAGAAAGAAGACTACCAGTTGCATACTTATCACTAGGTAGCTTCTGGACCTGTGTTTTCTGGAAATGCAACTTGGTTACAAGTTTCAAGAGAAAGGTTCCATTAAGATAACAGCCGAGCTACCTATTGCATACTTATCACTAGCTAGCTAGGCAGCCATTGAAACACCATTAACAAAGAACCCAAAGAGGTCGCCATTAACAGCCAAAAAAGAAGGGAAGTTTTCTTAACAACAGATAAACACAAGCTAGGACATGAGAACCCAACGAGTGGAAGTTTTCTTAACAACAGATAAACACAAGGTACTTCAATTTCACTGGCCACAAATTGGAACAGTACTCGGAAACAACCCTAAAGAAGATTCAAGTTCAACAACCATAAATCCCTAAACAGAGCACATACTAAAACGAGAGTTGGATCATCTAATCATCTTCAATAAGGCAGCACAAGGAAGCAACTAAAGAAGCAATTGAAACCGATAGTAAAGAGGAGCCTCACCTCTCAGGCGCTTGGAGGGAAAATCAAGGCCAAACTCCATAGTCATCTCGATCCGCAGGAGGAGCCATCTTCATTATCTGCATAAGGGTCGATTTCGCAGATGGGTTCTCAAATGGAAGAGCCAAGCAGTGGAGATTTCGTCGGCGCTGGTGGAGGGTTCGATTCGCAGGATGGGTTCTAGAAGAGCCAGGCGGCGGAGATTTCACCGGCGCTGGAGGAGGGTCGATTCGCAGGATGGGAGTTGTGACGTTGGATCTGATTCAGACTCAGGGGAGAGCAGGCGGTGGAGAGGTCGATTGGGACGGCGGCAGGGTGGATTTGGACATGGAGAGCAGGCGGTGGAGAGATCGCCGGCACTGCTCTTCGGAGAGGTCGCCGGCTCTGCTCTTCGTCGTCGCCTCGTCGGAGAGAAATTTTTTTTTTTTTTTGGGATCGGGGAGAATAATTGGAGTAGGAGTCGACACTCGACAGTACTAAAAGTCTAAGAGCAGGATTTTTTTTTCATATTAGAATATATATTATAAAATGGATAAAGAAAATAATATATGTTAATGGATTGGTGGATCAATCCATTAATCCATGAATCCAATCCACCAATCCATGAATCAAATGGATATGGATATAATGGATTTGGATCAACTTAAATGGATTTGGATCCATTTTAAATGGATTGGATTGGATTGGATAAATGGATTTGGATATCACTTGCCACCTCTAATTGGAGCAGAAGCGACGCCTAACAACAGACGTGGGGGTGGCGGCGACGACGAGATCTCCTTAAAATTAGAGCGACCATTTTGGGGATTGGGGACATAATCGTCTATTTTGGTAAGTTTAGGAAATTTTTTTTAAAAAATTAGGGCGTCAAGTAGAGATTCAGTTGGTTTGTCGCATAAAGCAAAAGAATACGAAACAGTAAAAATAAGCAAAACTAGACTAGGGAAAGCAAAAGGAAAAGGTATTGCATAAGCAAGATCTTCCTAGAATTTTCTTAGACTCGCTCTGATACAAATAAAAAAATATATGATTAAGTGGTTGAGGGAATTCATATGAATTTCTCTACTAATAGGTTTCTATATCTTATCCTTTTTGCCACTTATTTCTCTATAAGGAATGGATCAGGGAGACATGTGGCTCAGCTAACAAATTAGTTGCCATGTAAAGTAGCAAAGGTCGTTGTCGGACGTGTATTGCATTCAATGTGTAATTGTTCATAAAGTCTTGCTTGTACAATCCACCAAATATGAACATAGATCCAATGTTAGTTCAAATATAATAAACATAGTACGATAGATTCAAACAAACACAAACACAAGTACTCACACACACGTGTGTGTGAATTAACTGAATTTTCAGAATTTATACTATATCCTAATCTCTAATGGGTGAACCTCAGTCCTCAATTCTCTAACCCAAATCATAAGATTCATGTAATCTTAATAAAAAATTAATGGTTCTGATTCGTCGAAATTCTCAAAGTACAAATAATAGGTGTGGACACAGGCGTATATCGTACGCTAGCATGTCATATATATAACGAATCAAACTTTACATCATCTAAGGAACCTCTAGGGTTCGCTAACAAAGACAACTAACGGACTAGCCACTCATAGGGACAAAATTTAAGGAGTACATAAATTGAAACGATGAGATACCTAAGATACTGAAAATGGCAGCCTAATGGGGAAAATTGCACCATTATGCCCCTCGAGCATGTTGATCACTTTATGGAATTGCTTAGGTGCTTTGTTGGCAGAGTACTTTAGTGCTAGCAGAGAGGGTAAATATATAGCCTCTTCCATAAGGTTTTCTGAAAGATTTAGTAGGAGAGAAAGTCTTCTTGCTAAATCTCACTAGCATATCTATAGTTTAGCCTCCACGTAAGGAATATCCGAACAAATTTGGGATGATCTGGATCTTTTGGAAATCAGCGACCATGGCGCAAATTTGAGCTATGGTCGACTAATTGAGACATCATGTTATGGACTTGGCCTTAAGCCCCATTTCTGATTCCAACTATTGGTCCTTAATCTCTCCACTTCGTACAAGGTGTCCACCATAATACTTAGCCTAAAAGCACATGAAAAACCTACCCAAAAGGCTTCAAAAGAATAAAAATATTCATAGAAGCTACTAGACACACATTCGAGCAATTATTAAGTAAATTCATGGCATTATGACAATAAAAGTATGAAAATTAAAGCATGCCATAAAATAGGAGTACAAAATAATATAATTTATGTGTCATTCTACGAAAAAGAAAGTATTATTATTTCGGATGTCATTCTATGACAAAGGAGTAATTATCCTTCTAAAAATGTGTGGCTTATTCCCCACGAAGGAGGGAGTTTTTGGGGGAGGGGGGCTTATGCTCTTATGAATAGCAAACCTCTCTGAATCTCTACATACACAATTTATAGAGCAGAAACACATAAGAGTGTTTATGAGAGACCTATGATTTTCACATGGACTAGAGAAAAGTAGGAGTGGTTGTTATATCCTAAAGGCGACCGACTAATAGTCTGTTGTGCGCAATATGAGGCAGTATCACGAACGTCTTAAAGAGAGCTACCTAGTCTGCGACACAAGCAAATCAGTGACCCTAAATTTACCTTGTTTGGCTTCTAAAAGAATATATATTGCATTCAATTAATAATAAATAACATCTCTAAGGTTCACCTCATCAAAATATCAAATGAAATGAGCTCATGAGAGATGGAAAAATTAAATGTAAAAGATGAGGAGATGATACAGAGTCCAAAGGCATGTAAATCCTCTCGCTCGTCTCTTTCGGTGAGAAATTGATGGAAAACTCCTCTAAAAAATAGGTATTCAAATGCTATGAAAATACAGTAAAACATCCCCTATGGGTTGGAGAAAAAATCCTTATATAACAAAAAGGGAGCCCAACCACGAACACAAGCATGATTGTGTTAGGATTTTGTTTCGAAGAAGGGTTGTTTCCATAGCCTAAGGCACGGTCATGCCTCCAACTCTAGGTTGCTTAGTTATAAATATCTTATCTTGTCAATTGCTAAGATATGGCTCTGAGCATGGTAGTGTCCCATTTCGTGGGCAACTCACCAACTATGGTTTTCGTTTAAGCTTGACACCTTCAAGGCTCCAATTACTTCGGACTTCATCGCATACGATCCTAGTGACGTCCAAGACTCTAGAATCGCCATTCGTGATTGATTAAAAACATGGGTTAATTGCATTAGATGTCATTTAAGTTTCAGATTGGTTTCACATTAACCACTTAAATTCATTTGGTTGCAGCTAATGCACTTAAACCCAAATTTCGTTGCACATTTGTCTTTTTCATCCAAAAACTTAACGACGAATATGAAAACGTAATTTTTCATCCACGTAAACATGCCAACTCAGTCTAAATTGTTATGTCACATGGTACAAAGCATAGTTTTGATCGATGACTTCTACCTTCCCTTGCTATGGTGACTTCCTCTTGATTGATTGAACCATGAGATTTCTCTCTCATCCTCACAGTTTCTCTCCAACATGGAACCATGGCTATGGTTGATCTGCCTCCGCAACCAGCTCTGGCTTTCAAATTTACAATGCGAGCCTTTCCGGGAGACTTCCGTAGGGACATCCAAAGCGGCGAGTCGGATTGCCGAAATGCTGTTTTGCGTCAACATTTTGGCTCTCGTCGGTAGGGACTCCAACTCCCAACAGGGTCCTCATTTGGGACGATCACCAGAGCCACTACATTGACAAGTTCTCCTACATATCGCATGTCCGCGCCTGTGAGGTTGTGCAGGGGTCGGATTGTTGTGGTGCTCGAGGACAATGCTCACTCAATGGAGTAGCAATCTACAAAGTATGTATTCTGGTTAGGAGTAGGGTTATCAGCAACGGTGGGTCGGGAGATGATTTGCTAATTGGTGTGGTAAGGGGCTGGGTTTGAGCAGGTGATGTGATGAATGAGTTAGTGGGCAACAGAGGTTCGACAAATCAGTTGTCTTTATACAAAATAGATGCTGAACGTACGTAGACAATAAATTTGATTTTTGTGCCACATATTTTAAATGGGTAGGTTATTTTAGTGATGGTTTCGTCAGTTTTTTGTTTACAATCTTTTTGTTTGGGCTCATATGATGAACTATAATGGTTGTGGTGGTGGTAGGTGAGTCGGTGGGGCAGCCGGAGATGGAGAGGGGGTTGCGGGAGGAAGCGCGGGTAAGGGAGATGAAGATCTCATTGGCAGTGGAACGGAGGTCAGAATCAGTGAATTGGGAGGCAAGCTGGCCGAGTTGGCAGTCGAGTTTGATTATGATTGGCCTTACAAACATTCTTGGTGGCAAGGCTGGATCTGGAGCTTCGGCAGTGGAGGAGAAGGAGTGACTCCCTCCATTATTGGTCTAACAAGATGTCTTTTTAGAGAGAAGTCAAATCTAAGGGGTTCCTCGTCGACAGAGACGAAAAGAGAAAGAGGGGAAATGAGAGGAAGACCATATAAAATGTAGGATTAATTGCACCCATTTGAGTTTTAGTTAATAACCAAACAAATTTAGAGTGAGTTGGCATGTTTGCGTGGATGGAAAATTATATTTTCATACTCGTCATTAAGTTTTTGGACGAAAAAGACAATCGTGCAACGAAATTTGGATTTAAGTGCTTTATTTGTAACAAAATGAATTTAAGTGGTTAATGTGCAGCCGATCTGAAACTTAAATGGCATCTAATGCAATTAACCCTTAATAATCTAATACAATTTATTTTACTCATGAAGACATGAAATGTATTAAACAAAAATATCAAGCATAAAATTGAAAAAAATCCGAGATAACTCGCAAATATAACAGGAAAAAAGACACTCAGATGTAGGAGGACACACTTATAGAATATGAGTAATCAAATATCTCCGAACTTCATCCCAAGTGATCCTAGTTAGAGCTGATGGCTGGGTCGGTTAGGTATTCACCCAAAATGCAGTTAGTAGTTACCCACTAAATAGGAAACCACTTTCCTTATCCGACCCATCAATGCTTAGTGGTTAACCATTCACTTATAATGCACTTAGCTTAACTTATAGGTGAACTAGAATGACATGATTAGGTGTGTATGGACGATTGTGCTATATGATAAATCTTGGACCGCTATATAATATTATTGCATTGCCTTAATAGTTATGGATCGTGTTTATGTTGATGATTGCTTATATGTCGCCATTTGTGGGATTAATTGTTGATATGCCTTATGATTGTTTTAGAAGGGGCTTGAGTATGATTGTGCATTATTATTGTATTTGGATTCACAAGTGTGAAAATATATTTTCGAGGGTGATATTATGATGTTTAAGGAGGATGACTTGCACGAGGGTTTATTCTGAAGAAGCCCAATTAACGACTCTTGGTTTACCTATATTGGACCAATTATGGTCAGGTTAAATACATGTTCAAGTAATGAATTGAGATTAAGAAAGATAATTTTTGAATCAT